TACATGAGCTTGAGGAATAATTTAAAAATTTTTTGGGAAAAATTTAAACCCATTTTGTCCCACTTCTCAAGAATCACTGTTTTAATATCATAAATTTGTGTTGCTGCCGTTTCCTGATCCGTCTGATCAGAGCCGATCCGTCCAGACTTCCCAGTTCCTCTGAAGGTTTCTGTGAGTTCAGACTGGGAGCACGCTGGTTTCCATGGCAATGGGAAAATCAGACCAAGCACTCGTTTGTTTCTTATGAGGCGTAAAGCTTCCTGCATGGGGAACGGAGTGAGACTTCCTGTGAGGTACCAACAGCTTTTCTCCAGAAATCCTGCAGTTGCAGGGAAAACACTGCAGGTAAGGAGGGAACACGCAGGAAAAACGACAAAAATGACAGAAAAATGACAGAAACAACAGAGAAAAGATAGAAAAATACAACAAATCCAAGAAAAACAGCAGAAAATGTTAAACTACATAACCTAGCTCTAAAAGAAGGAAAGCAAGAAATTTAAAAAAGGAAAGAAAAAGAGAAATAAAATAAGTTAAATTTCTGTCAGACTTCAGTTTTTCTATCCGATGATCTTCCAGTGACTCTGTTCTTCAGACCAGTTTAAAACCAGAAACCAACCAGTCAGAACCAGCAGGAACCGGTCCTGGAGACTCCAGGGAGAGTTTTCTGTTTTCACTCCGTTTCTCCCGGTTCTGAGCTTCACAGAACAGAACATGGAGTCCAAACATGGAGTCCAAACATGGAGTCCAAACATGGAGTCCAAACATGGAGTCCAAACATGGAGTCCAAACATGGCCGCTGCATCTACAGGGAAAACACAACTTTCCTTCCCATCTAAGGTGTGTGTGTGTGTGTGTGTGTGTGTGTGTGTGTGTGTGTCCACTAACTTGCCCCCCTCTGCTGGCAAAAGCCTTTAGATTTTTATTAAATAATGCCTTGAATAAAAATACAATCTTTGCTACATTTTCTTAAAAAAATAAAAAATATATATTTTTATTTTTGCAACTTTTTTATTTTATTGACTGAAACGTTTGATCATCAGTAACTCACCTGCTGCATCTCTTAAAGCTTCAGTCACTGGTGTCGTCATGGTAACCACAGACACATGGCGCCCATCAGGATAATCAACACCCAAAGCAGATGCAAACAAAGCAGCTGACCAGCAGGGGGCGCTGAAGAGCTCCTGGCTTCTTGGATCCAGAAATTTAAATGTGGAGTTTTATCCGAATCTATGTTTAAATTCACCCACATGGTTTGTGATGACATGTTAAATAGTTTAAAATCATTTAGGATTTAAAAGAACATTTCGATGTGGTTATTCCTATGCAGGGACGAAAATATTTACACTGGTACAGTCACCATTAGGACTGTCATGAGTTAATGCAGCATTCAAACGGTCAGGCCTGAAGGAACTGGTCTCTGATCAGGGCTCTAGAAAACATTCAGGCTCCTGCAGCTTCACACTGTGACAGTCAGCAGGTTTTCCACCAGCTGGTGGCTGAGACACAAACGCATCGCCAAAATACTTCACATGGTGTCAGGAGTCAAACCATTTGGAAAAAATGAAAAGTGAAGGAAGAAAACAGGATCAGCAGCAGATGAACAAAATCTGGAAAGAGATTCTGATCAGCTGTTATAGTAACTACTGCAAAGATACCAGTCATCATCAATACCTTTATCACTTTTCCATCATCGCGTCGTCTCCACCACTCTAGATCAGGACTTTAATTACAACTGAAATCTACTTACTATTATAAAAAAAAAAATAAACTATTTGCTGTCTAATAGTTAATGAATCAAGTTCAGGTTATAATTGAACCCAACACGTTTCCAGTCCGACACGTGAATCAGTGATGTATGTCCTGCTGGGGGTTAAAGGTCAACTACAGGAGATAAAAATCTATTCTCACACGGTTCAAATGTATGGAAATATAAAAAACAGGCAGATGTTTGAAACAATGCAGTCAGGAATGCGATGAGCTCTGCAGTGCAGCTCTGGTTCTGAGCTCACGGCGGTTTGGGAATCACTTCGGTAAAAACCTTCAGGAAGCTTCAGGTCTGCTGATGAAGAGCAGCTGAGAGGAAGAGGAAGGTCTCCAGGTTAACGTGGAGACATCGGGCCGAGCCAGAACCTTCTGGACCGAACCGCCTCTGATTGGATGAGTGGGTTCCTGAGGCGGGGCCAAGTTTCTAACAGATCACCTTCCAGGATCTACTGGCACCGCCTGAATCAACCAAACTAGGAAAAAACAATATGTGAAAGAAGTCGTAGGAGAATTAATGATGTTATAATGTAACAAAAATAAAGTCATGCAACAAAACGTCATAAATATGAGATTAAAGTCATAAAGCTTCCAGACTAAAGTCGTAATATCAGTAGAAATTAGTAGAAATTTTATTATTACTCCTACTTGAAAAAAAAAATTAAAATGAAGAATGCTGAGCAGGAAATACTTTATTGGTTTTACAAATAAGGAAATATGTCATATTTTTATACATCAGCGTGAAAATATCATCAGGTCAGATCTTTGAGCCTATTAAGCAACAACTATTAAAAAAAAAGTCACTATCCTGAAGCTTTGCTCTCATTAAAACAACTTTATTCCAGTAATTTTAAGAATTTCTTGTGAGATTGCATCTTCTTTATTCTACTAATATTCTAACTATAATATAAAAAACTCAGTCTGGCCCTAGTAATCCATCGTATTTTCAGAACAAATCTTTTGTGTTTTGTTTTAATAATTTTGAATGATTTAGTCAGCTTTAGGCGTTTCCCCAGCTGGTTTCCGTTTCTCCACCAGAGGGCAGCAGAACTGAGCGTCTTTAAATGTTTCTGTGTGAGAAAGCGAGAGCCAAAACCACCAAAAGAAAGTATGCATGCGTGATTGTGCAGGCAAATGTGTGTATTTGTGAGGGTGCCAGCCTTGTTTGTATGCCAGTCCTGACAAAAGCTCCATCCAGCCGTGCAGCAGAGGGCTGCTTGTTCCCAGAGACCCTCAGAGCTCCAGGACAGCCAGTCCCTCTGCAGTCCAGACCGGGATCCGGACCTGAGCGCTCCCCGCCCTGCCCTCCACCTCCTGGAGCTCCGGTTGGATTACCGATGGATGGGAAACACACACAGGAGCGTCTGAAGTGAGATAGTTTGAGTGTTTGGAGAGGAGGAAACTTCTCAGCTGGATGTCCAAGCAAACAACACAAGTTCTGCTCAGTTTGGAAAACTCAACTTCAACTCTCAACTTTTGCATCTGGGATCGGGATATTTTTATTTGACCAATCTTGGAGGAAGACAGTTGGTAACTTCCAAACACAGGCTGATCATTTTATTCCAGAGTTCAAGAACCTTCTTGGATACTCCTGGGGTTTTATCGGATTGTTGGTCTTGGACTTTCCACAAACAGGCTAAATTCAACGGTTCTGGTTTGAGGTGGAAGTAGATCTTTTAAACTTGTAGGTCATGGCTCCATCATTTGTTTTTTTGCTCTGTCTTTACCTCCCGCTGCAGTTCATTCATGCAAAGACTGTTGAGCAACAGGACAAGCAACAGAGCAATCCCCATAAATCCCCCGACAGCGTCCAGCTGGAGGCTCTTCGCCTGAAGAGCAGGAAGCAGTTAAAGCCCGCAGACGATGCCTCCAACCCTGAACACACCCCCCCTGTACCCGACATGGTGGACCTGGACCTGGACCGCCGGGTCCGCCTGGCCCGCGGCGCAGATGAAGACGAGCAGCAGTCCACCTTCAGCCATTCCTATGAGAACGAGTGGGTGACGACGCCTCAACTCACAGAGTTCAGCAACACAACCAGGGTAGAACTGAACCACAGAGACGAGATCAACCTCCAGGCAAACACCTCCAACCCCGACGACGAGGGTCCCTTCAACCCGTTTTACCCGCTGGTGGAGAGCTCGTACGTGGCGTATGTGGTTCTGCTCCTGGCCGGCCTGGTGCTGGCTGTGGGCGTGGTGGCCAACATGGCGGTCATGTGTGTGGTTTGGAACAACTACTACATGAGGTCCGCCTGGAACTACCTGCTGGCCAGCATAGCATTCTGGGACTTCCTGGTCCTGGTGGTCTGCCTTCCAGTGGTGGCGCTCAACCACCTGTCCCACCGGAGGATCCTGGGCGACATCACCTGCCGCTTGGTGCCGTACATGGAGGTAGGCGGGCCGTGTACGTCACAGGAATTAATAAAAGATAGTTTGATTGACCCCTGCAGAAGAAGCTGGTGTTGAAGCTACAAAAAACAACAATATATATCGCGATAAAGATGTGATCAATATCAATAGATGATGCATCTGATAGAATTTTAATAATTTGATAATAATCTAGGCAGAGGAAAGCAGCTCAACCTCTCACAGCTAGCTAAGCAAGGTGAGTGGTTACCTAGCAACAACCTGTTGCATAACATGCGCAGCAGCAGTTTCATGTTGTACCCAACATATTCTTGCGTGTTCAATGTGAACATCTGCAGGAAACATCCTCATTAGGTAAACGTTTACAACGTTCAGAGATGCACTGACCTGCACAGGAAACTACAGTTAGAAAACAGATGATGTTCACAACTTCTTCTGTTAGCTGATGGCTGGGAAATCCAGCTCAATGGGAGAAATCCCAGTCAGAGCACTGAAGGGAGATGAGAATTGAGCAGAACTGCATAGGAAGGCAACAGCCAGGAAACTGAAGAGCAGGTTCATCTGAAGTTTTGATTGATTGATTTATTTTTTTTTTTACCAATAACAGAATATTTTAGAAAGTGATCCAGAGATAAATATGTGACTGAAGATAACAAAGGGCTCTTCATATCTTCTAGTCCATCACTGAAAAGTTCTGAGTCCATCACTCATCGATGCCTTGCTTGTTCTTAAATATTCCTCAGCATGAATGTAACTGATTAAAATGATTATATAACCAACATGTCAGTGTAACAACCAGCCATCTTCACACGCAGAAATTTCAGTGTTTAATCAGCAGCAATTCTGCTGCCAATAACAAAACCAGAACTTCCTGAACCCATACGGAAACACACAACCTAGAACCAAGGCAGCATACCGGGTTCTGGAGGGAGAGTGGTGCCGGTGCCGGCAGCAAATCCAGGACTGGGAGTCATGAACAGAGGCAGAGCCAGAAAACTTTCACAGGGTGGCCAACAACTGATAGGCACCAGAGATTCACGTCTGTCCTTTCATAACGGTGTAACTGGTAAACTACCAAACTAAAGTTTCCAGACGGGCAACCTGTGAGTCCCACAAGCTCTGGAAAGCCTGCTGCTTTGAAAGAGCAAGAAAACTCCCCAAAGTTCTAGTAAAATACCCAGAACCTCAGGAAAGCAACCTGTGCTTTCTGGAAAAGAGCCATATAAGCTTTAAATTCTGGGAAAGTTACCTGTAAGTTTTGGAAAATGCCTCAGAGATTTATTGAATGTAAAGAGTAAACTCTGAGAAGGAAACCTGCAAGTTTCAAAAAGTACTGCAAAGTATTGTGTAAGATCTGGGAAGGTAAAATGTAAATTTCAGGAACCTCACTCTGGAAGCCTTAAGAAAGTGACTTTAAACCCCGTAGTTTCTGAGAAAGTTTTTAACACTTTCCAGAAAGGTAAACCCTACAGACACCCTCATCCAGCCCTCTGCTAAAGTAACTCCAAGGAAAGTAGCTATGGAAAGTATCAAGAAACTCCTGAGGTCCTGTAAAGTAAACGTTTAAAAAACAAAGTTCCTGTAAATGCTCCGTATCGACGTACTGCTGCCGTTTCTATTCATCCAGTTCATGGAAATAAGCTTGAACATGTTTAAAAGTCAGGATTTGACTTATTTAAAAGCCAAGTCAAGATAGACTTGCTAAGAAAACTGAAGAATCTGTTCAAATCTCTGATATTGGGATGGCATTCACTGAAAAACAAAACCCTGATATGTTTCTCCTGTTGGTTGCTATAACAACCCGTTGCTAGGCCTGCTGGAACGTCCTGCTGTTTGGCTAAAACAACGTTGCTTTGGAAACTTTGTTAGATTTCTAAGGTGAGCTTTGTGGAGAGCTGCTAATGTTTTGGTCCAGTTCACTATAACTAACACTGAGCTTAACACCAATATTCATTGTTTAAAGTGTTTTACTAATTAAATAGTAAATTGATGTTGAGGTACGTGGCCAAAGCCAAAGCCTTCCTGAAAACAGAGCGACTGGGTTTTGGTTTGCAGGTCTTGGTTGGGGGTGTTGTAATTCTCACCTTGGGTTGGGTGATTGGGGGTTGGGAGGCAGGGTTCACCTGCTGGGCAACGGCAGCGCCTCCCTCTGCGCCTGCGCTGGTTTGATGGGGCCTGGTTGTGGGGATGACCTTGGTGGTGTGGCAGTGAGGGGCCTGGCAGAGGGGCCCCTCTGCAGGGACTCCAGAAAGCTTCATGGTGGAGAGTTTCTGCCACTAACGGCTCTCAGGTATTTGGGATCCTTTGCTCTTGGCCTCCTGGGTTCTGGTCGCTAAAATGAGTGTTTTCAATATGGTGCATTAAAGATATGGATCAATATGCAGATCAAATTTGATCACACCTTCAAAATGTGGGCTAGCTCTCTTTGCAGAGATGTGGAAATGTGCAGCAAATGGCACCGGCTCATCCACCTCCTGACTCCTCCAGAGTATTATAAGCCTGGAAGGCCACCAGGCTTTCTTTGCCTCCCCACCAGGCTAAGTGTTGCTTGTTCATATTAAATATGGTTTTTATACACCAGTAACAGTAAAGACAGATTAAGCTAGGTTCACATGCTGTTGTTTCCAAATTATGATGCCTGCTCATGCACCTTTCCATTTCTGTATCTTTTAACATTTTTCAACATAAAAATCTGGTGGGCCACTGGTGAATTGCACTAGAGGCCCCCAGCATGTTTTTGGAGAAACACTGAAACTCCTTTTTGTTTGACATGATTTGTTCTCCATAGGTATCGTTTTCAGTTCAGACACCTGGCAGTTAAATTGGGTCTGGGTCAGGAAGACACAATGCATTCTAGTTGTTGGGTCTGAAGACACTGTAAACACCCATGTGACAACGTGGGTTAGTGTTCTACTGTCTGTATCCTGAGAAGCGGTGATGATACGTCTGAAACCCACTAGGACTCTTGACCAGAGTCTTAATGTAATCCCTACACCAACGCTCTTCTTGTGCCTGCAGATAGCGTCTCTCGGTATAACCTCCTTCACGCTGTGCGCCCTGGGGATCGACCGTTTCCACTCCGCCACCTCCTCGCCCCAGCAGAAGGCCCGGCGGGTGGAGCGCTGCCGCTCCGTTCTGCTGAAGATGCTGCTGGTTTGGCTCTCGGCTCTGCTGCTGTCCAGCCCAGAAATCTTCCTGTGGCAGCTGAGCCAGGCGGTGTCTCCGTCCACCGGCAGGATGGTTGACACCTGCACCATCACCCCATCCTCCCCACTGTCCCTGTACCTGCCCGACTCCCTCCACTCCCTGCTCCTCAGGTACCACCAGGTGAGCTTCTGGCAGACCAGTGAACTGGTTCTTGGATCAGAACATCCTGGTTCCATCCAGGCGGTGCTGAGTCTCCGATCGCATCTCTCTTTCAGGGTCGCATGTGGTGGTGTTTCGGCTGCTACTTCTGCCTCCCCGTCCTCTTCACCATCCTCTGCCAGATGGCCACTCGCAACGTCAACAGCGACTCCAGCTCTGCCCAGAAGCAGCGTAACCATGACGACCGCGCCAACAGCCAGAAGCGCCAGCAGCACCAGGCGGTGGAGCGGCAGCTGAACTGCACCCTGCTGGCGCTAGCCGTGGTTTATGGGATCTGCGCTCTGCCAGAACATGTCTGCAACATCACCCTGGCCTGCACACATATCACCGTCTCTGAGGGCACAGCAGCCATTCTGGAGCTGTTACATCACTTCCTGTTGTTCCTAAAGTGCGCGGTGACGCCGGTGCTGCTGCTGTGTCTGTGTAAGGTGGGTCAAAGTTAAAGAACCACGGACTGGGGGGGTCTAACCAAAGACATGAATCCAAAGATTTGCTTAAATCTTGGCCTTTGTAGATGTCCAGGTGTTTGTTTCTCCATCATTGCAGCTGATCATTTGAGAAAGCTGAACAAATTTAGGACAAAAGATTTAAAAAAAAATCTCCACTCAATTAGAGACAGGAGCATCACCAGCAAAGGCCTGGCAGGATGTCACGTTTCAGGAGAATTTTAAGCTAGCAGCGCTTTGGGACTCACCTGGAGCTGAGGTCCTTTTCTGTCTTTTAAACTTTATTCTTCATGGATTCCACTAAAAGGTCCAATTTAACTTTGATTCATTGCTTAGGGCTTCCATGCATTTACTGGCATCAAATTAAATACTATTCCAGACTCAGATTTCACAAAGAATCAAAACAAAGAGAAATATTACAGAGCTCATATTTTTAACTATCTCTAAGCATCTTTTATTAGCATTTCACATGAATAGCATCACTAGCAGCAGTCTGCTAGCTGATCCCGACCTTAGATGTAAGGTTTCCAAATGACTGCTAGTATCTCCGAATCCAGAAACTTATTTTTCTGAAGTTTCACTTCCTGTTGTAACAGAATAAATAACAACCAAGATGTGTTCTTGGGAAACTTTCTTCCACTTTCTGTTTCCTCTGATTTCATGTTTGAACACTGCAGTGACTGTGAAATTAGCCAGCTCAGCTAATATCTTGTTAGCAGCGGGTCCAGAGTGCATCGCCGTTAGTCCTACCAGTTGGTCCAGACGTTCAGTCCATCCCAGTTTGAGCATTAAATTGTCCAATCCCAGCTGGTGCTTTCCTGGTTCAAACAGATTTAATTTGTGTTTCAGGCTCTTGGTCAGGCCTTCATGGACTGCTGCTGCTGCTGCTGTCAGGAGTGCCAGCCAACCACGGCCCAGGACTCACCAGGCTCCGCCCAGGTCAAACTGAAGGCAGCCAATGAGACTTCCATCTTCTTTGACAAGGCTAAAGACACGACGGCCATCTTGTCCATCTCCAGCTAGAGCCACACGTTCCTCTTCAGTTATCGCTCCATGCATCCGTCTTCTCCTGGATGTCCAGTCATCTCTTAGAAATAACTCCAGGTTTCCTTCCTTTCGTCTTTCTTAACTTCTTCTTCTGCTCTCTACATGATCTATCCATCTTTTTCCATCACCTTTCTTCTTCCTGTGCACACCTTTTCAGCCAGACCACTGTTTTGTTCGGGACACTGCAGCTTCCTGTCTGTACAGGAACTAATGTTTCATCAGTTAGAAAAGCTGCTGTGGAGACCTGTGTTGACAGCAGGAACCTGTTCCCAGGACTCTGAAGAGAAAACCCCGACCGCCCTCTGTAGATCCAAGCTGTGAAGTTATTTTTTGTTCTTACTGAAAGTAATTTAAGCTAAATCAAAGCTGTAGTTTCTATGAATGTTTAGCTGAGAGAGAAACCTGAAGGTCTGCTGCTACGACCAGCTGGCTTCACACCCCTGGCAAAACGTCTGGATTACTGAAACTAAAAACTGAAACATGATAAATCACTCCATGAAGCGCCAAGTGTAAAGTTACAAACTGAAAAATTAACAGCAGGAATTTGAGTTATTTAGCCTGCCATATTTTCACTATGTTGTTAAAACTAAATATTGATTTGGCAAGATAAATATTCAGACTCCAAGATAAACATTTAGCTCACTAAATAATGATTGTAACATATTTAATTAAAATATTTAGCTTCCAGGCTAGTTTTAGTTTAGCAACGTGAACAATTAGTTTTCAAACTAAATATTTAACTCAGAGCAAATTATTTAACTAATACACAAATACACTGGACCCAGTTGGCCCAGATTTTCTGTGTTCTGGTGTTTAGAACCAGACTGGACCCAGTTGGTTCTGGTGTTCAGAACCAGCTGGTTCTGGTGTTCAGAACCAGACTGGACCCAGTTGGTTCTGGTGTTCAGAACCAGACTGGACCCAGTTGGTTCTGGTGTTCAGAACCAGCTGGTTCTGGTGCGCAGCAGCAGCCCAGCAGGTGGTTCCCTGAGCCTGTTGAATGTGTGTACTGGTGTTTTACTGCAGGTGTTTCTGTAAAGGTTGTGCTGATAATGAAGCTACTAATCTGAGCTAAAGAGACGAGATGTTGATGAAGAACATGGAGGAAGATGAGGAAGACTCAGCCTGCGATGGTCAGGAGGTTAAATGTGTAGATTAAAGTGTATTAATGTTCCTTAACCAGAATGTCTAGAACATGAAGGAACAGCAGATTTACATTTTTCAGGATAGAAGTACGACTAATCCCATGTTTGTTTGACTGCAAACAGGATGCAGATTTTATGTGACATGGATGATTGTGCCTTTGTAATATTCTGTGTTTTAATGTTAAATTTCTGAAATTACAACATGTTTGTCAGGATTGTTTGTTTGTGTCTCTGTATCCAAAATCAGCATCATAAGATCTGTATGATGATCAGCAACGATCTGCTTTAAAGAGCATCTTTGCCTTTCTACTGGTTTTATGTATGAGGATAAGGTGATCGATACGGCGCTCAAAATGCAAAACGCCACATCAGACCAAACTGACTCATTTAATACAGCAACAGATCTACAACAGAACCACTAATACGGCCTAATCAAAGTCCAGATTGCAACCTGATTAAAATTCAGTTGTTAGAGCTTCAGACAATGGAGGAGAAATAACCTAAATGAAGTTAGGTAGTGGACACACTTCTGCTAATCCGCTAATGAGCTAACAGCAAAGCAAATGTTTATGTAGTGTCACTGACATCTTTGAAAACATTTAAGACTCTTAGTTTCCCCTAAACGAATTTCTAAAGCCCTTATTGGTTTAGCTGTCTTGTAAACTTTCAGTTGAATAAAATTCAACATTTAAAAATAGTCTTTTAAATTCAACCTGCTATTTGAAGTGGATGAAATCTGTTACAGCAAAGAGTTTAAAATCTACCAATGTCCTTCATGCTTTCTGACCAAAGTCTATTCGGCTAAATCAGTACAGAGTTAGCAAAACTAAAAAACTGAAACCATGAGTGAAAGATCTGATCCAGAAATTCATGTTGCAACAACGAAGGTAACTATGCTTACTGTACTGTAGTATACCATGGTATACTACATGGTATACTACATGGTATACTGTGGTATACTATGTTGTTATGATGTCATTGACACATGTTGGGTATCAACATGGTTGAATTTAGAGCCCTAGCTTATGCTAAATACCATGTTGGTTCGGTGCTTTAGCGTTAGCAGAACCAAAGCTTATGATTGCTGTGTTACGGTTAGCATAGCTAACTCTTTAATTAGCATAGCTAACTCTTTAATTAGCATAGCTAACTCTTTAATTAGCAAAGCCCAACCTTGATGGAAGTCAACATGGTTGAATTTATCGCTTTAGCATGAACTATTCTATAGGCCTATGGTGTTGGTATAGCGCTGTAGCGTTAGCATATCTAATGTCTATAATTAATGCTGTAGAGTTAGCGTAGCTAACCGTTTAGTAGATTTGCGCGCTACTGGTAGGGACAGTGGACCAGAGGTCACTGAAGGTCTCTGGACTCCAGTTTGCTTCTTATCACATGAACCAGTTAAAATGTTTTCACTGTTTAATGTAAAACATGGTGTCTGTATGGTAAACATGTTCTGGTTTTCACGGTTCTGATGGGTTCTTCAGACCCGCGGGTCGGTTAGGAGCTGCTGCTCAGCATATCAATGACCTCACTACTGTCCGGGCTCCAGGGGATACTGGTCCAAATTCACCCAAACCAACTCTCAGTTGTGTTAATTTAGAAAGTTCAGCTATTTTCTAATCAGCGCCAGTCTCTTCCTTCGTTGCCCTGGCAACCCCTGAGGAGGATTTAAAAGGGGGGCAACATTTCTGTCCTCTGGAGGGTCAGAGACTTACTGAAGGAAGGAGTGAAAGCTACAAACTGTTTAAAAGCTCTAGATGTCCATCACGCAGCGTCCTGAAGGGAAGAGGAGCTCAGCTTCCTCAAATGGTGAATGGGTTTAAATTTCAAGTTCAAACTGAAGCCACTGAAAACAACACACCTGTTCCTGCCCAGGTAAAGTCTCATCAGCATCCAGTCGATCTGCGCTGCAGCGGTCCGGTAACGAGATGTTCATTCAGTTCAGGCGATAGAGAAGAGAAGCATCGATGAGCAGGATTACAGATATTAAAGGGCCACTGTCATGTAAAATTTACTTTTATGATCTTTGCATCATGTTCTAATGTTTCCTCATCTAAATCATACCTGGAGTGTTGCCTCGATTCATTTTTGCATGTTTGAGAAACCCTTTCATCTCCATGGCAACCAGTCACCTGTTAAAACACCTGGGTGGACCTAGCCCCGCCTTCAAGGCACATCTCCCCCACTCAACTCCTTCAGACTAGCCAGCAGCAATTAGCAAACATCTGCAGAGCTCATTAAAGGAGCTGCTTCAGAAAGAGCAGGAGTTTTTAAAGAGACAGAGGCCCAATTTCAAGGTGTTAATTCAGGAAGTCAAATTTCTTTGAAGTCATACTTGATATATTTAGCAGTTTTATAACAACTGAAGTAACAGTTATTTGATTGTGCTTTCAAATGGATTATGTGCCTGGAAAACACGATCCTGCCTCTTTAAAATTGTTTTTCCTCGTTTCCTAGTTGACCCAAACACATCAGGAACTTGATGCAGAAGTAAAGACAGATCCAGGGAGGTTTTTATTTCCAACACTTCTTCCAGAAATATGACCTGAGGCACTTCCAGGGCTGCTTGTGAAGATCTTTGGTTGTTTGATTGGTATTTTTCTCAAAGCTGATGAGCCTAATAACAGTGGCTCATGTGAGCCTGACTCTGCCGAGAGATTAGATCAGGTCTTTGAGGTGGTTGGAGGTTTTCCTGGACGTGTTGCGTCGTTATCTGGAGCGTTGATGAAGCCGACTCCACCTGCTGATCATTAAAAGCTGATTTTAGCTCCTGGTGATCTGCTGCTGAATGGGGCAGACGAGGAGGAGGAGGAAGGTGATTGATGCAGAGCTGGAGGAACAGAGTGTTTCAGGCCTCGCTGCTGTTGTTCTCATTAGTAGTGATGAGAGCTCGCCCCTCTGAAGCGAAGCCCCGAACAGACTGCCTCTGTTCGCTAATGAACGCACACACTGAGGCGACTAGACCTCCATTGGTCATACAACAGCGTCTCTGGGGCCGACTGGATGGGAACCAACTTCAGGCCCGCGCTTGTGTAACACAGAGGTCACAGGTTCGAATCCCACGTCGTTCCAGGAGGGGCTGCTTGTTCCAGACTTTACATCCAGATCACGCCCAGGTTAAAAACACGAGTCATGAGTTTTATGATGAGTAACCGGGTTTGATTTGAACTTTCAAAACAAGAAAAGTTCTTTACAGTTCAGCTGGAGAGGAAATGAGAAAACATTTTTCCCGGTTGCCTTCCAGCAGGAAGGTCCTGGGTTCGAATCCCAGCCTGGGGTCTGCAGTTTGCATGCCTGGTTTCTCTCCTGGTACTCCATCTTCCTCCCTCAGCCCAAAAGCATGACTGTTTGGTTTCATGCATGTTTCTGTCCTGCGTCTCTGTGATGAGTTGGTCCAGGGCGGACTCCACCTGTCGCTCTGGAGGTCGGCACCGGCCAATCAGGGCCCCATCAGGGCTCTGATGGGGACATGCGGGTATAGATTATGGATGGACGGAGGGTCAGCAACAGAGTGAGACGACGGTAACGACACGCTGCGCTGCCAGACACAGTGGACTCCGACTATTCATGCTTCAGGACTCATGGATGTTTGTAGAGAACAACTAAAATATTCTAAGCTCTCGACGAAATCCAGCTTGACACGTTATTGACTGATGTTCAGAAAGCAACCAATGCAGGAGCTTCCTTTGTTTCCTTTGGTACCGTTTGCCTGAACCACTTTGGGTCGTGTCCAACTTTTCACGCTCTGATCAGGGTTTTACTCGACACCAGGCCGTTAACGTGTCCGTTTGTTATTCTGCCTTGCAAAGCAGAGTGGTGCTAGTTATGAATAATACTTCTGAATCAAAAATAGATTTTTAACTGAATCATAAGATGGTAAAAGATTTCCAGGCCTTTCTGAAAAGTTTCTGGTAAGTTAGTATCCTTAAAGTAAAACAAAACTAAGATATGTGCACCAGAAACTAAAATATTTAAGATTTTGTGTTGTTGCAGTGAATAAACATGATTTGAATGAATGTGAACCTTTGAGTGCTTCGTGATGAACGGTGCGGTCCAAACGAGCCAAAGGTACGGTACCACTCCACAGAACCAGTCCCTTAAGAGGCTGAAAGAACAAAACATTCCTGTGAAAATGTTCTGGTTCTGGACTGAAAGTGAGAGAAACAAAAGCTCAGATGTGGATCAGAACCTTTGGACCGCTCTGGATGGAGACGATAAACTTCATGAGAAAACGGGAAAAAAGTTTCCTGAAACTCAAACTCACCGTGTGAAACCGTCTGATATGAAGAAGCTCTTGTCTGGAAAACTGTTTCCCTCTTATGAGTGAATGCGCTGCCATACGAGTGTGTGTGTGTGTGTGTGTGTGTGTGTGTGTGAACAACAAACTAATCTGACCTGAATGTGTTACGTGCGCGCCAACGTGAACGCTCCCTGAAAACCGGGAGCACAATGTCGCTTTTGTTCAATGAGAAAACTGATGAGGAAAGGAGTGAAGAGGGGGGGATGCTGTCGCCATGGCAACGCGCTGGAGCGGGGGGGCGCAGACCACCTCACACTGCAGACAGGAAACACTGAGGCCTGCGCCTTTGTTGGTCACACACTCCACACTGGGAAAGGGAGGCCGAGTCGTCCCAGAGGACGGACGGTTTATCAGTGCGCTCACGTCCAAACGAGCTGCTCTCTGCTTTCTGGTTTTGTCCGTCTGCCTTTGAGTCGATGAGAAAGCTGCAGACTCGTCTTTCTTTCCTCTAAACTGTCTCTGATCCTCCAAAATGAAACTCTAAATGGGACAAGAGGAAGTCGGATTCAGACGATTCACACAAAACTCCAAGAAAATCCACAAAAACCCATGAAAATAAACAGCTATAACTCAGATGTAGCTCCAATTCTACACAATAAACATGATTTTGATGTATTTTACCAGTTTGTTGGACTTTTATGAGTAAAAACCTGCTGAATGTCGGGTTTCCTGCAGGCCAGACCCGACCTTCTGCAGGTGGCGCCCCCTGCAGCAGCTCACCTGTAATTACTGCCACAGGTGAGCTACTGACTCTGCTGCTGCTCAGGTCTCTCTCTCTCACACACACACACACACACACACCAGGATCTCTCACATGGTGAGTGTGTGCTGCCCCCTGCTGCCTCTCCAGTAGAACTGCAGCTCAGCTGCTGAAAGCAGCAACATGTTAGCAGGAATTGAGTCTGAGTGGAAATAATAAATAAAAACATTAGAATATTAAATTGTTTCTCTGTAGAACGATGGACTTTAACAGAAATAATTTATAACTTGAAGCCCAGCAGCAGTTAAGCTCATTTCTTTCCTCCTGGCGTTTTGCTGAAACGTTTCTGTTTGCTTCTACAAACTGCAGCTGCTTCCGTCCAAAAGAAGAGGCAACATGTTGAAGACGACGTCTGTCAACATGTTGCTGCATGGAGCTGGACATGCCGCCGCCTGACAAACACTCACCTGAGGAAGGCTTCACGTCTCCAGCCAATGAAACGGGAGGAAGCCTGAACGCCTGAGGAAAGCCTCACAGCTGAACGATCTCAGAGGCTCAGCAAGAAAAACTGGTCAGAAACTAGAACATCTTCTTCCTCCACATATTTATCCTGACAATCCTGAAGATTTCCGGGTTGGAAGCATGGAGGTTCATCACAGAGCAAACCTGAATAATTCCCAAATCTTTTCTGGGTTTCAACCTTAAACATCGTCAAGAAGCAACTTAAACTGAGTTCATCTCCCCTCGTCTTCACTCCTCCATAAATGACCTAAAAGTATTTAAAGTTACACTGAATGTTGATGTTGCAGCTTTATCACATTTTACTCCAGCTTTTCTCTAAAGACTTTATCATGTAAAACCAGATAAAATGTCTAATCTTCCTCATTTTGCTCTCAGCCTGATCTGAGCTTGACTAAATTTCAGCACATCTGTGCCACCAGTCACAATGTTTTAGTAACAAAACTCTAATAACCAGTAAATTATTCTGCAACAGGAGAAGAGTTAAAATCCCAGGCAGACGTGTTTACACGTGCTGGGGAGGTCTCTGCTCGGCCGGACTCTGTTACAGAGTCTGTTTCATCACAATGACTTAATGCACAGGTTCCCAAGCTGTGGGGCGCGCCCCCCAGGGGGGCCGCCGTGCCTAGGAGAAAAAGTTTGGGAACCACTGACTTAATGTTTGAGTTTCTTTCTGCTACACATTTAAAGTGTTTTTCACTAATCTGGAGAGGATTTTCTTAAATATTTCTTATGCTGTTTAAATTTCAGAGAAAATGTTTCTGCTGGTTTTGATTTGGAGAAGAAGGAAGAAATAAAAGTGTTTAAACAGAAATAGCAAAAAAAGATATTTAGTCTCAGTGTGAGTTTAAATTAAAAATTTAATACGTGATTATAATGCTTCATTTAGTTCAACATGATGCAGATGTTTCATGAGATCACATGACACCGCTGGTCCAATCAGAAACACTGAACTCCGGTTAGACGAATCATAAAACAATAAAAAACAACAATATAAAACAAACATGAATAAAAATCTAATTCCAGACAGAAACAAAAACGTTTGTCCTTCAGGTAGAGTACCACACATCGGGGTTAGGGCACCAGTAGATTATTAACATTATTCTTCTTATTAATATCTTACAAAACCAAAAACAACAGTGCAATAAAAAGGTTTGAACGCCTCGATCAGCGGGAGGAAGAGACGGCGGAGAAGCAGAACCAAAACGGACAGGAGGACAGGGGGACGGGAGGGACGACAGGAGGACAGGGGGACGGGAGGGACGACAGGAGGACAGGGGAATGACAGGAGGACAGGGGGACGGGCTTCTCAAGACGATGGAGGTGGAGAATGGAGGAAGGTAAGGGAGGAGAGGACGGTTTGGGTTCAGGTTGTTAAAAGGATTTTTAGATTCTGATCCAACATGGCTGCCAACGTGAAGTCAGGGAGGTTAAAACCGGGCCGACGGTTCTGGTTCTGCTGAATCTGTCTGATCGATCGTCTAACTCTGACGGTTTCATCGATCGCTGCGTCTCCGGTCTCTCCGCACGACGAAGCGTTGAGCGTGTGTTGGCTTCGTTTACTGCCGTGTCACGCAGAGACGATGTGAGTCTGTGAGGTCATCAGCCCAGCTGGGCGCCGACGGTCGACTCCAGCCGTATTCTGGTCTCACCTCAGGTTGACGACCTGCTGACCCGGATCGGCGCCGAGTGACACTGCGTCACGTAAAGGAGTCTCTCTGATTGGTTGATGCTCCGCGTTCAGCTGCAAAGCTTCAGATTTTCCAACTCTGGCGTCGGCCATGTTGGATGTGCGAGACGCGCCGCGCCCACATGGACACGCTTGGTCTGATCGCAGCATCAAGTCGTAAACCAGCTTAAACTAAAACCTTAACTTTTCTCTGTAACGTGCAGCAGGAAGCTGTGGTGCTGGTGTTCTGACCCGTGAGCGTTTCCATGGTTACGCAGCAGTTTTAACCGTGACCTCGGTTTGACCCGGATCCATCCTGGATGGAGGCGGATCAAAGCGATTACAGGAGGTCCGTTTGGCTTCAGCAGCTCGTTTAAAGACAAACATCAGTTTCATTTGGTTCTGATTTAACTGAAATACTGGGAAGAGTTGGTTCTGGATTAAAGTGTTTTTTAAAAGACTTTCCTGGAGTAGAACCAGCAGCCTCAACATGAACTGTTGGAGGGCAGGGGTCACCAGGAGCTGAGGGTGAGGCGGAGGTCATGAGGAGACAGGAGGGAGGGGAAGGGAAGGGGCGGGGTCAGGGCTGGTGGGCGTGGCCCGTTTGGGTCGGGTCGTCCCTCAGGAACTCCTCTTGGTCCTGGAGTGTTGGATCAGCCACTGCAGAGTGATGTCTGCAGACACAGAGCTGGAGGTCAGGGCGACGCTGAACAATTCAATCTGAGCGACAATACGAGCAAAAAACCTTCAAAACGCCTGAAACGCTTCATTCAAAAACACTCAGCCACGTTTATCATGTGCTTTCAAACAATAAGTCACGACCAGATCAGAGCAAAAAGCTCAGACAGGTTCATAACCAGGATTATTAAAATATTATTCTATAATAAAAGTTTTCACCTCAAAGACCAACGAAACCTGCAGGATGAATTCACACCAAAAAGTTCTTTGGTCTAATTATTTGGTCCGGACCAGAACCAGACTTTAGTTTCTTTGTTCGGTTTGCTTTCACATTGAGCTTTTTCCAAGCGGATTAAAATATGTAAACAAAGTCACATGGGTGAAGATCAGTGCTCCTATTGGACAGAAATGATGGGGGCGGGACGAAACACACCTGGAAGTCCTGCAGCTGCATTTCCTGATGCTGCACACTTCTGCTAGTGTGCAGCTAATTTTTCACTTAGTACTTTAGTTTGAAAGCATTTAGCGCACTTAGCTTCCCCTGGATAAACTCTGAGGCGCTGATTTACTTGGCTGTTTTGTAAACTTTCAGTTGATTAAAGTTTCGATGTTTTTGTTATTGACTGTTGAGAATTTATTAAGGAATTTATATTCAGGCTCTTATTTTGAAGTGGGTGAAGAGTGTTTACGCAGCAGTTCTGTTTCTGAAATTAGCACTTTAGCTTCTCCTTCTTACTATGCTGGTGTAGCGCTTTAGCGTTAGCTGAACTAATGTCCAGGATTAGTGCTTTAAGGTCAGAACAGCTAAGCTTTTAGCTGGCACTGCCTGGAACATCATTTTGAAAGTCAATTGAAGCTTCAGCTTCCACAAATTCGATGGCAGCAGCATCACTACGTGGTTCCAGTCCAGCCACTGCATGCAGGAGCAGCTTATTTCCTGCGGTTGGTTTGGCTTGAGGCCAGTTTGTGTTCACACCAGAAGCGAACTGCACCAGAGTTTGCTGTGAAGCAGATTGAGGTTCGATTGTTTGAAAGCCACCAGGAGAAAAGGTCCAGACCAGCAGGGGAAACCAGCTCTGGTCCGTTTAAACAGAACCAAATGTGTTCAGTCCATCTTAATCCAACTCCAGTCCGTTTCTTTAGAAAGTCCAGTTCAGTTGATTTGGTTTGAATGCTAACTGACCTCCGGTCCTCCAAACCTCAGACTGGGTTTGGTTGAAGTGAACCCTGCTTTGGTTTGAATGCATATGTGAACGTCAAGCGGACCGGAGATCGCTCCAAGAGCAGAAAGTGGACTACAGCGCAGGGCATTCTGGGTAAATACAACCAAAACAAATACGTTAGCTTAGCAGAAGAAATGACTTGTGGCCTTTAGCCAAAGACAAAGAGAAATCCTCCAACTGCTAAAATCTGACCAAAGGGTTTGGTTGGTTTGG